AGGTGATAGCCACTCACACAGTTGACTTTTTGAAGGCCACCCAGCTTCCTTTGACCTGATTGCGCCCTCGCCAAGCAAGGGCACCTACGGGCAGCAGGGTTCCTTGGACACAGGAGAGCGTTTCCCGAGAAACTGGCCTCGTTTCCAGAGCTCAACAGGCAGACCAGGCCACTGTTCGGCCCAGGCTGACGTCCTGGCTTTCGCCCCGCCCCCTTAGCACTGTCCAGGGGCGGGGAAGAGAGGACGCAGGCACCGGGAAGTAAGCAGAGGCAGGCCTGCTGCTTCTCCCTGACTCGACCCCTGCAAAGGTCTATCTCCAACTGAAACAAAATGCTTTGATCCCAAACCATCTGCTTCAGTGTCTGATTGTCCCTGAGTGAACTTGAAAAAAAAATTGGGTTTCTGAGACTTAGTTTCCAAGCGGGACTCCAGGGAACCAGGCGAGACCTCCTGGACCCCTGCTGCCACGCTTTGCTGTCTTTTCAGCTGCAACAGAAGTTATTGAGGAAGTTCCTTCAGAAAAGAAGAGGCCTTTCAAGGCACTTGCAACAGACTCTGAGACGCACAGCCTCCTGCTCGCCGCCGCCGCCGCCTCCTCTCCGGGGAAGCTGCAGACGGGGCAGCGGCGCAGGTCCTGGGCGGATCTCTGACAAATCACTCCGCCGGCTGGTTCCCTGCGGCTGCTCGGGGCCTCTATAAGTAGCGGTGTACTACGGCTAATTAGAATTAATAACCCTAATAATGAAAAGTTTCCAACTCTCATTTTTCATTTTCTGGTTACAGCGCATAAAAATAAATGTGCTAGGATTTCGCTGAGACCTCATCTTACGTTCCACACTGGAGAAACACAGGGCAGGACTCCTTGTGCAGTATGAGAGCGCTCTGTCCAACCTCCGCCGCTTACGCCTGTGACTTTGCAGGCCGCTTTTTGTGGGAACCTACGCTTGTGGAAGGCGAGAGAGACCTGGGTGGCAAGGAGGAAGATTCCTCCTTCCAACACGCTCCCGTGCACGGAGCTCACCCCGACAAGAACCTGCAGGAGGTGTGTCATTGTTCCCATTGACAGATCAGAACAAGGCGGGGGTGGCATTTATAAAGTGAATGGCATGCCTAAGGTCACGCAGCTCGAGCGTGGGGAGCCCACCTTCCTCCTCTCTCCCTTCCTCTCTCTTCCTCCCTTTTATTTTTGACAGAGGTGCTGTGGCGTGACTTCCACACCGGAACTGTTATCCACAGTAAGTGGGCAATAGCGTGATTTTTGGTAATTCCTTAGCGGGCACCACCGTCACTGCAATCTGATTTTAGAGCGATTTCATGACTTCGGAAAGCTCTGCCGTGACCGCGGCTGTCCACGCCCACTCCTCCCAGCCCAGGCCAGCCCCCATCTGCTTCCGGTCTCTGAAGACTCGCCCCTTCTGGGCCCTCCATGTAGACAGAACCACACAGACACAATGTGTGGTCTTCTCATCTGGCCTCTTTCCCTCTGCTCGACGTTTTTAAGGTCCACCCACGTTGTAGCGAACGCCGACACTCGGCTCTTCCTTGTTGCTTGGTGGCGTCTCATCTGAGGACACACCACGTGTTTATCGTTCACCAGTGTCCCCACGGATGGACATTGGGGTTGGGGCCAGTTTGGGGCCGTCATGTATACTGTGCATACGAGGACACGTATTTCCATATCTCTTGGACCCATTCCTAGGAAGGGACTTGCTGGGTCACACGGCACCTCTGTGCCCAACCTTGGGAGGCATTCTGAGGACCTGGTTTCCAGGGGGGCTGCCCCGTTTCCCACCCCCACCAGTCAGGCGTGCGGGCTCCAGCTTCTCCATGTGCTCACCAGCATCTGTCTCTGTCGGCCGTTTGGATTAGAGCCGCTCCAGGGGGGTGTGAGGCAGTATCTCACTGTGGTTTTGATTTGCATTTCCCTGGTAACAGAGATGCTGAGCATCTTATGTGCTTATTGGCCACTCAGATCTCTTCTTTGGAAAAGTGTTCAAAGCTTTATCTATTTTTACAAGGGTTGTTGTCTTGTTATTGAGTTGAAAGAGATTATATATTCTAGAGACAACAGCAAGATACTTTACCAGATGCACGGTTTGCAAATATTTTCTCCCACTCTGTGGCGGGTCTTTTCATTTTTGTAGTGTTGTCTTTTGAAGTACTGAGGTTTTCAATTTAATTACATTCAATGCATCGTTATTTTTCCCTTACAGATCATGCTTTTGGTGTCTTATCTAAAAACTCTACGCCTAGCCCAAGGTCGTGAAAACTTTCTCCTATGTTGTCTCCAGCAGTTTCGTAGTTTCAGCTCTTATATTTAGGTCTCTGATCCACTTTGACTTAAATTTTGTATATGGTATGAGGTAAGGATTCAAATTCATCTTTTTACAAATGGACAATCAATTTCTTTACTGGTTATGGGTTTCTTCAGATTTCCTATTTCTTCTTGAGTCTTATTTTTTTTGTCATTGTGGTTTTCTAAGAATTTGTCTTCATCTAAGTTGTCTAATTTGTGCCACAAAGTTAACATCCTTTTTTAATTCCTGCAGGGTTGATGGTGTTGTCCCTGCTTTCATACCTGATTTTGGTCATTTGTCTCTGTCTCTGTCTCTGTCTCTGTCTCTCTCTTTGGGCGGGGGGTGGGGGCAGATGGGTGTTGGCAGGGAGGAGGTGGTACAATTAATTAAGGTTTGTCAACTTTGTCGACCTCAGAGAACTATCTTTTGGTCTCAGTGATCTTCTCTACTTGATTTCACTGATTTCCACTCTCAGCTCTGATACTTCCTCACTACTGCTGGCGCTGAGCTGAGTTGGCTCTTCTCTCTCTAATTTCCCGAGGTGAGAGTTCCCGTTGCCGTTGTTTCCCATTCCCCACTCCGAATCAGGTCAGCCCCGGAGACAGGGAGGCTGCTGGCCGGCCTGCAGGTAGGGCTCCCTCCCCTCGGCGTTCAGGCCGGGGACCTCGCGGCCTCAGGGAGAACGCCACGGACGCCCGCGGCTCTCCTCTGAAGTGCAGTAGTTTTTCACCAATAACCTCTCTGCAGTACAGTCCTATTCCAAGTCCTCAAAGTGACTGGCTCTGACTATCCAGCCCAGTTTTGTCCTTACCCCCTGGGGAGAGGCCATGCGAGCTGGTCATTCCTGCCATGCCGGAGTCCTGCCCTGCAGCCCCGCCCTGCAGCCCCGCCTCTCTCCGCCACAGGCAACGCAGCTGGGTTCCATCCTTCAGGCCCTCTCGTTCTCTCTCTGGGGGGCACGAGGGCAATGCTGGTTACAGAAAAAATACTTACGTTGAAAAATACTGCCCTGAGGTTATCAACTGTGTGCTCTCTCTCTCTCTCTCTATATATATTTTTTAAATGTGCTTTAGTGAACTGCTCACCAGCTTCAGTATTAACAAGGGTGGATGGACACCGCCTCGCAGAACCTGCGTTTCCAACAGAGGACAGAGGACCCAGAGGCACCTTCCCATCCATCCGAGAGGCAGGCAGGCGGACGGCTGGGTCCCAGTCCTGCTGACTCAGCTGAGGCTCCACCGAGGAGGTGGCATGGAGAGCAGGATCACAGAAGGTCAAGGCTGTGACCGACCGGTGTGGGAGCTGGGCTTGGCACACACACCGTGCTCCTCGGGTGGAGGACTGTCGAGCTACTGAGTGCACGCTAATGTGACGTGGACACGGATGAGTGGTGTCTACGGGTCTAGTTCTGTTCCTGGAAGGACACGCTGGGACTGCTCTCCCTCTCTCCCCTCCGACAAGACGGCCTGGAAAGAACGAGGGCTGAGACGCAGGAAACCTGGGTTCCAGGCTCTGGCGCTGCCACTTTCTCCCATGTAACCTCTTCCCCACAAACTCGCTTGGAAAAAGCTATCAAGTTCCATGATAGTTTTTACAAATTATGAATGTGCTATACATGTAAGGCTTAAACGATGAATTAATACCCTGTCTTGAAATGCCAAGATGCAATGACTAAGAAAGAGATGTCTCCCCAGCAGAAGAAGGAGATCTCCCTCCCTCTTCTTCCCTACCTCAGGGCACAAGAAGGCTGCTGCCCATCTGACAACCCACCCTACGTTCCCACAATCAACTCCATCACTGCTCCCCTCCCACGAGACAAGGACGAAGGACGGAGGCAGGTGCTCAGAGAAGGACACAGCTGGGTTTCAGTGTGTGGGGAGGGCCGACCGGAACAGGCACTGTCGTCTAAGGCCCACACTGGTACCTGTGCACACGGGGATCTTTCAGCCAAGCAAGGCGGGGCAGGGAAGCCCAGGGCCCTGGGGGAACAGGCAGAGGACCGTCTCTGTCATCGACATCTCGTGCCCAACCCGGCATTCACAGAGTCATCACTGCCCCTCCGCCACCCCTGCTAGATATCCACGGGCCACACCAAAGCTACACATTCACAAATGCACAGTTTTGGGGGCCAGACAACGCTCTGCTTCTAATTTCATTTCAGTATATATCACAAATATGTGTCTCTGTTATGCCATGATACATGTTATGCCATGTGTCATGGCATAACACATCATAACATGTGATAATGAAATTCTGCGCCCCAGGCTGCATACATAAGACAATGATCCTAGTCGTAGCCTTCCCAGACTCAGACTATGGAGACCAGAGTTCGGCTGCGGCGGTTACAAACGGGAGGGAGAGCAGGCGCCGGTAACCACGGACCTTCACGCCCGACTCGGACACTGGGGTTTCACGGAAACGTCAGGAAGCAGGGCTCAGTGGCCGTGCCCTGGCGGACGGCACCACGAGCCCGCCGCCTCCGCCGTGCCAGCCCCGGGCCTTACCTCTGGCCGCTTTCCATCCCACCTCCTACTCGGCTCATCCTGCGGCAGAGCGAAGGGAGCCTTCGGGGGCTCTGCCCCGGGTCCTCGTCACCATCCAGCGCCCAGGCCCTCTGGCACGGGCACCTCAGCCTGGCCTCCACACCGGGGCTGCGCGCGGGTGGGGAGGGGTCAGAGGCTAAGGGCAGACCTTCGGGGTTACCTATTTGCCTTTCCAGGTCGGCAGCTTCATCAGGCGTGGCTCGCGGGAGGACTCCGGGGTCACTGAAGCTGGTGCGGAGCAGGGTCCCCATCACAAAGAAGAACAGAACGCCACCGACCACGGGGATGGCGGGGGTGAGTTTCACCGCTAGATACGGGCAGCTGCCAACAGGTTGGGCAGGCGGGGGTGGGGGGAGGGGAGAAAGAGAGGAAAGATAACGTCAGTAATCAACAGTGAGCAGACTGTATCTTCCGAGGAGCTGTAGGTTACTTTGGAGAAGCGAAATTAATTTCCATTAAAAATTCATCTGTGCTAAGTAAGCATTTACCTCCGGGGAGGCCTGCCATTCTCTCCTGTGGACAGTGTAACACCCCCTTCCCGGTCACAACCACTCGGGCCCTCGGCCGCCGCAGCGCCACCCTGCCAGGGCGCTGGCGGAGGAATCCCACTCCCCGCCTGCGCGGTCCCGTCGGGGTCCAGATCCTGCACCCTCCGCGCGGAGGAATCCCACGTCCCATCTGCGCGGTCCGTATCCGGGTCCAGAGCCTGCACTCTCCGCGCGGAGAAATCCCATGCCCCGCCAGTGCGGTCCGTGTCGGGGTCCAGAGCCTGCACCCTCCGCGCGGAGAAATCCCACGCCCCATCTGCGCGGTCCGTGTCCGGGTGCAGAGCCTGCACCCTCCGCGCGGAGAAATCCCACGCCCCATCTGCGCGGTCAGTGTCCGGGTGCAGAGCCTGCACCCTCCGCGCGGAGGAATCCCACGCCCCGCCAGTGAGGTCCGTTTCGGGGTCCAGAGCCTGCACCCTCCGCGCGGCAGACACCGCTCGGGAACTTGTTGACCCTCCCGCCCGTCCCTGCAAGAGCATAACAGAAGATGACACGAGCTCAAGGCGGGCCTCTCTTCGCCGGGTCAAACCACCTCGGGCACAAAGTGCTGAGAGCTGCAAGCTCACCCTCCAAAGGCAAAAAAAAAAAAACATTTTTCAGTCTTTTGGAGCGAATCTATTCAAAAGTGGTTCATGAGTTATGGAAGTGCGCTTGCAGGCCAGTTTCCAAAAAGGATCCAAGGGATTTCGGCGGCTGGGAGATGCTGGTCTCACGCTCTTCAAGAAGGCGTCCGGGCTCCCACGGCAGATCCCGGCCCGTGAGCAGACGAGCAGCCCGACTGCGGTGAGTCACGGAGGGGGGCCCTGGGGACACACCAAAGTCTGTGCCAGCAGGGCTCCGGGGACCCAGGGGCCAGGGCACTGTCACTGCCCCTCGCTGCCACAGAGGGGGCGAGAGGCCCAGCGGGAATGAGCTCAAAGCCTGGAGCTGAGTGAAGGGTGGCATCCCCAATGACCATGGTCGACCATCATGGGCCTCGAGGCGCGCACCACGGATCACAGAGTGATAACACACAGAGTGGAAAGCGCCCCGCAGACTGCCCACCGCGTCAGCGACACTGTTCCAGACACCAAGGACAGAACGGGGCCGGAGAAGACAGGCTCGGAAAGCTCCGCTCAAGACGAGGAGGTAACAGGTGCTCGGCTGTGAGGGTATTGGGGGCCGCGCCCCACCCCTGTGCAGGGGAGGCGGTGTCGGGACCCCTGATGGGACAGCAAGGGGAGGTACAGGCCATGAGGACCACGGGCCACGGTCCCCTTTGCCAAGACCAGGGACTGGCATGCTAGAACACCGGTGTTAAGAAGAGGCGAGGCGGCGTGGACGTGGGGGCGCTCACTGGGAGCCGAGGACCAGAGGCCTTGCCTGAGCGCCCTGCTCTGAAGAATCCCAGAGACTCCCCAGCAAGTCTAAGAAGGTGGAGGGGGAGCCCAAACGCGAGGAGGCGGGGTTTCCTGCCCGGCGGGTGGTGGCCTCCAGAAGAATCACGTGATTTAGACAGATGAAGAGGGGCGGCGTTTCTAACATCTCTCTCCTGTCCCCCACATCAGCCACCTGCAGAAATGAACACACACACACACACACACCAACACCATGCCACACTCTGGCTGGACTGCCAGTTGTGACTGCTGTTCACGGGGTTCATGGGGAAAATTAGCAGAAAAAACCGCTAATTGCCATTCCTGCATCAGTGTGACTGACCCGCCCACACTCCCAGACACTTACAGGCCTTTTTAACATCCTCGGAGGGTCTCGCAGGAAAGCGAATTTGGCAAAGACAGCAAGAAGACATAAAGAACTTGCAATGGAAAAATATAGGTGTATGAGTGCCTGACCTAAAGAAATTCCCTTTGCGAGAGGAACCACTTACATTACGAAAAGAACTTTTCAGGTCCAACTAATTTTGCTCTGTGTAACATAAAGAATCACTGCTTTTCCTTGAGTGTTTCAGGCAAATACGAACATAATTAATGCCCTTTAGAAAGATAGGGCTTCCAGCCTTCCTAAAAATTTTATTTTATGATTCTAGGTACTAAGAAGTTTCAAGGTAAATAAGCGTTTAAGGAACTGGCCAATCACACTGATGTGTGCTCCTGGACTTGTAAAGGGACTATTTTCCCATGTTTACGAGTCCTGGCAACGAGAGAGAAGATTTTGAAGGACGTGGCCTAGGGCAGAACTCGCACTTCACCTTGAGACATGCAGAGAATAAAAGACTTGTCAGGAAATGGCCACTTTCCCTTTAGAGATTCAATATAAAGTGACAGCAAGAATCACATTTATACGGCATTGAACTCCGGGTCCTTTTGAGCTGCCTCTCCGCTGTGAGGGACAGTGCAGGGCAGCGGGCCACAGACCCACAGATGGACACCTTTTCAGGGCACGTGTACGGCGTACGGCGGGGGGGCACGTCGGGACCGCGACGTGGAGGCTCTCTGACAAGTGGCTGTTACAGATCAATTGCTTCAGGTCTATTGATTAACTAAATCTCTGTGATATCAGCCTGGTGTTAATATCTAGAGTCTGAAGGAATTCAGACTCTAGGCGATCATTAAAAAGCATCTGCGCCATAAAACATGACATTATCTTTGATAGTCTTGCTGTCAGATGAAAAGCAACCGTACCCTGTGCGAAGCCTTAAAAATGTGCCACAATCAGAAATGAACAGAGTCCACACTGACGGCATAAAATTGACCCAGGCACTGCTAGATTTCAATTCATATACACTAGCCCTAAATTATTATTTTCTTGAGTCTAGAAGAATTTACTCTATATGGCCTTATTTTTTTAATGGTTAGGGAAATGATCGATTGTGTAGAAGAGAATTTTCCAGAATTTAAATTCTGAAATCAACAGAAGAATGCCTGTTTGAACAATGGGAGAGAATAAAATGGGCCAGTGTTCTTCCTCGTTGCCATTACGAATGAGGCTGAACAAGAAACAACTGGCACAGTTGTTCTGCGACAGCACCCAGGGCACAGCTGCACCGTATGCACCAGCCTGAGGGGCGTGACCCACCCAGGGCCCTGGGGCTGTGATTTATTTAGCTCCTTGTGGCTTCTCCAAGGACTGGGGAGGCGGTTTAATAGATGTGAGGTTTTGGTGTTTGCTTTTTTCCCTTTTGGGTCTGAAATGTAACTTGGTTGACCTCAAATCTTGCTTCCGTAGACAAGTTACCGAGTAAGCCAGGTCCTAAACACTTTCTTCTTGACCCGGGTGCACTGCGTGGGGGTGGGGGTGCCGGTGCCGACTTCTCCAGGCCGACTGCACTAGCGTCCTCGCTGCCGCCTCCGCTCCCTCTTCCCACCTCCCATGAAGACGTGCGCTGCCCCTGCTGATGTCTGACGTTGAAATTTCGAGATCAATGTCTTTAACCCAAGGCTTGTGCTCCCCGAAACAGGCTCCCCCGCAGAGACCCAGCACTGTGCTTTAAGTTATTCGCACTTGAGCGTTTATTCATTTCCCCCAGCCCTTCCAGGAAGAGAGGGACAGTCTCCGTGACAAGGGAATGCCTACTCCCCGCCGGGGCGCCTTCTCACTCTGGCCCTGGCCGCCCAGCATGGAGGAATCCCGCGTGGGCCTGAAACTCGGCGATTTCGGCCTCCTTTTCACACCTGATCCTGCCCCTGCGTGAAAACTCCGGCAGGGCTGGGACTTTTCTGGTTGTGAGACAGAGGCCACGGGAAGTCATTCAGTCACGTCGGACGGCGAACAGTCTCGCTTAGGCAACTGAGAGAGTAACCGTCCCAGCCAGTGGTGGCAAGTTCCCACTCAACTTCCAGTTAAGCCGCCACCACCCACCCCTCTGGCCAGGGGCAGTGTCCGGCCCCCGGAGCCTCAGGGTAGAAGGGGCCGCACAGCGCCGACGTGACTGCTCCGTCACAGGTGGCTTTGCGCACCCGGGGCCTGGCAGATGTTTAAATCCGGCTCTGGGTCTGCACGTAGTCCCGAAGCACCCCTTCCCCCGGGCCCAAGTGCACTGCCGCCGGGCACGGTTGCCCTCCCTCCCCCTTCTCACACAGAGCATGGGCAGCCCTCTCCTGGCCCACAGGCTCCCCTTCAGTGTGCCCTAACCGCCCTGCCGGCTCTGTTCCACACGTCTCTGCTCAGGAGCCCACCGTGACCCCCCTCCTCCTGCCAAATTAAGTTTGAAAAGCGCCTTGTCTGGCATCCGTATCCCATCGCCCATACGGGTCTCTCCTCCCCCTCAGCCCCACTGCCCTTCCCTCCGGGGCCAGGCTGACCTCTCGGCCTGCCCAAACGGTCCCCGCCCACCCAGCCCTTGTGTCTGGAAAGCCCTCACACCCCATGTCAGCTCCTTAAAGCCTCTGCAACTTCTAAGGTCCCACAAGATTGTGAAAAGTTGTTCTTGCCTCATCCCCAAGCAGAAGTGACGGCTTCCTCGTCTGAACCTCCATAATATTTTTGTTTCCCCTCCCCGTGGTGCTTGTGGCTCTTTGCGGGGGCCTGCAGGGTGGGAGCGGTTGCCGTCTGTCCACCTGTGAGTGTTTCACAGCACCTGGCGCAACGCGTCATGCCCGGTAGATGTTCTACAAACACCTGTTGAGGAACTCAATGAATGGGGCCTGTTGACTGAGTGACTTTTACTGTCACATGGAAAAGAGGAAATTCTCATCAGCCAAACCCTCAACATCAACAATGCACCTCGTGTCTAGAACTCACTTCTCTGTCTCCTCAACTTTCTAGGTCCTGTGGCTTTCTTCAAACAGGTGCCAAGGACTTGCCCTGTGCAGGAGGCACCCACAGCTGAGTGTG